AATCCTGGATAGTACCTACCTAATTGTTAAGTAGGTAAAGGTTTGTCACAAAGAAATCATAACTTTTGCAAACATCCGGGTTTTCCACTAATAATTTCTTAAACTAACAACTTTCCATCTTAAGATACGAAAATTATCCTTCGAAACACTAGAAAATTATCTAAAAACACCACAAAATACACAAAAAAACAGTTTTTTGATGAAAAATTTTTGCCAATGCCAATTTTTTGGCATTGACCATGCATTGACCGCCATTTTGTTTGGATTGCCCTAACAGGTGCGGACAATGTTTATTGTTCAACGCAGTGGCGGATCTAACATGAAGCAAACGACGCACTCTGCGTCGGGCCACCAGAGCTGAGGGGCCCCCACACAATCGATTTCTAAAGGCATCGATAAAAATGAATAAAAAAAAATAATTAAAATAAAACCGAAAATTAAATTTTGAAAGGGAAGGCAACGTTGTATACCTCTAGGGGCCGGTTTCTCAATAGCGAGTCATCTCCAGGTTCGTTTTAACTCCAAGGTAAGCGTGTCCAATTCCTATGTTTACCCTGGAGTTATGCGTAACCCGGGGATGACTTGCTATTGAGAAAACATTTTTTTTTTTTTTTTTAATTTTTTCAAATATTATTAAAAGGGCGGACGGGTTAGTTTGGGTAAGCTTGGATTAGCTCTTTTCGTCTAAAATGCCAACATACAAAGACTAGCATTCATTACGAGGACGGGTTAGTTTGGATAAGCTCTTTTTGTTCAAAATACCAACATACAAAGCAACGCTAGCACTCATTACGATACATTTGTGTGAGTACTAGAGGAGTAGGTGTCGAGTTTTCATATTATCTCATATGTTCTTAATGAACTTGTTTTTTAATTAAATCTGTTTTCATATTTGGCTGTAAAAAACTTCAAAAATATAAGTAACTTTCGCACACTCGCCTCACACCCCAACACCACAAGAAAAATAGGTGAAGTCTAATTTTTATTAACAGAACGCTTCGGCTTCTTTGATTTTTACCGCTTTTGTCGGCGACTATATGCAAAAAGCGATGCCCTTTTTTCAGTGCGTGCCGCCGCAGAAAAAAGCGACTAGATAAGTGCGAAGATGTTTTGACAAGGGGCAGTACTGAATTGATTTTTAGGTTTTTGGGTTTTATTTTATTTAAAAAACTGAGTGATTTCTATTTATGGATGTATTAATTTTTCCTCAATACGACCCTTTCTACTCGTTGGACCTGGGGACTGTTGTCGGCAAAAGCGGTATTTTTGGGCGGTATTTTTTTAAAACAACAAAGAAATGCGAAGTGTTCTGGTAATAAAAATTAGACTATACCTAAAAAAGCATGACAGGGCCCCAATTTTTTTTTGCGTCGGACCCCAAAGGTCCTAGGTCCGCCACTGGTTCAACGAGTGACGAAAACAGCAGTTTTTAAAATATGTAGGTAATGCAATCAAGGATTAGGATTTTGTGGGGTTTTTGGACATTTTTATACAACAATCGTAAACAGGATTGCTCGTCCTAATAAGGCGTACGTTCACCAATTCTTGAGCAGGCAGGGTATGCGGGTGACGTCTCCACAGCTGCTAATAGTGATGACGTCACCCGCAGACCTTGATGGAAGGCTTGCGATTCAGGCTGTGCTCGTTATTTGATTTTTTCGTCGATTCTAAATGTAGAAAAGGTGATTTTAACAAGATTTTAACGTTTAAGAATTCATTTTGCTTTAAACTCGAATAATGCATTTTACTCCAAGAGTTGAAGTACCCATGCAGCTAACATAGCCGTTGGCAAACACTTTCAGCTCAATAAGCACTTTTACTAGGGATTGAAAACAGGATAATCTCTGCCATTTTCTGGATACCTGAAACTAAGATGATCCTTTTTTTTCCTACAAATGTGCGAAAAAAAAACTGTTGGCATGCGCGAATAGTAATCTTTCCGCACACTTTTGAGAAAAATTGTGTTCCTTAAGCCTAGTACTCATTACAGCGAAATTCGCTCTTTTCGACATTGCTTCGACAATTTGACGTTGGGTTCACGCATACAACGTCAAATTGTCGAAGGAATGTCAAAAAAGAGCGAATTTCGCTGTTATGAGATAGACTTAACACTTGCGAGAAATGGTATTTCCCGCACTTGTTAGAAAAATAACTATTTTTTTCCGAATTTGATATGAAAAAATTTTCCGCCCTGTAGGAGAACAAACGAGTTTCCAGTTCCACTCCAACCAAAAGGCGGTTACACACGGACGTGGATGTCTTAATACATAATACATATACGTGCATACATCAACGTGCAAACAACAACGTGCATGGCGCTTTTGTACAGACGCTCGCACAAAACTGCAGTCTTGCTATTCTTGCTACAGTATTCCGAGTGTGCATACAAAATTGCACATTCAAAAACGCGACGGTATTTTGCATACACATTGATGTTTTTGTTTGCGCGTTCATGTATGTGCGTACATGTTTTCAGACATCCACGTCCGTGTGTAACCGCCTAAAAGGCAGTGCTTCAAAATACAAAATTTGTAGTTTCAATTTTATTCAATTTTCAATTTATTCAATCATAAGCAGTATAATCAAATTATGAAAGATTATTATATTCTTTGTCCACTCCAAACTCAAAAGGCCGGGATAATAATAATAAACAACTGTGGTGGCGTGGCGTGGCGCTGATTCCAGTCCAAACATGAAAATGCCAAAAATTGCAACGTCGCATAGAAATTGTTTCGGGGCTACCACCAAGCTCTTGTGCCAAGTACGGAGACAAAAACAAGATCGGCACTGGTGGGGAAATGAGCGCTGCATTCTATTGGTCCGTACAATTAACTAAGAAATACTAGTTGTGAGAACTAGGTTGCTGCAACTGGTTTTTTAGTATTAATAGGTACATATTTTAGTTATTTTTTATTTAACCAGCTTAATTAGTAATCACAACATGTTGTAACAACCAAAATTATAGTTAGCTATGTTTTAACAACAATTTTTAGTACTTAGAACTGATTATGTCAGTTAAGATGATTTCCAAGGTACAACTAATTTGAAATGGCTTCAATAAAAAAAACAGAGTGGTCGTAATAACTATTTTTCTAGTAATGACTACTATAAAAATTCAACCCACGTGCTTAGTTAACGCGTTTTTCTCAGTGTATGGTGCTGAACTATCCAATGTGTATTCGTTTCTGCATAATTTCGGCAATTTCGACGATTTACCTATAAAAAAGATGCACAAAACTACCTACTCAGAACACCAAAATTGTGTACACAAAATCCACGACGTTTTATAAGTATTAAGATATCTACCTCCCCATTTAACGTAAAAGTGGCTTCATCTGAAAACAATATCCAGTCCAATTAAATATGCCCACCATCAATTTGGTTCATTATCGTCTCACAAAACTCCATTCTTCGCTCAGGATCATCTTCTAGCAACTCCTGCACCAGCTTCCTTTTAAAAGCTCTTTTTCCTGTCGATTTTAAAATTTCTTCATTCACTTCCGCTTGGGGGCGATCAGAATTGGCTCAAATTTGACATAAATTTACTTTTTCTATGAGCGTGTGAGAAATGGCTCTTCCCGCACTATTCTCTGTGCGGGAAGACATAAGAAATAATCCCTGTGACGTCGAATAACTATATTGTTGATTGACCTATACCTTTCGTTTCTATGATGATATTTATTGACTTTCAAAAATAATTTTAAAGTGTCAAACTGTGTAAAATTTAATAAAATATCAAACATGGAACAGGAAATTCAAGATATTTTGTATTCTGATAATGTAGCTATCTTAGATTTTTTTTTGTAACATCACCTTTAGTAGGTACGCTAGAAAAAATATACCTAGTTCCTAACGCTCGTGGAAAGGAATTTCCGGCACTCGGCTGCTACGCACTCTCTTGCCAGAAATTTTTCTTCCCGCACTTGTTAGGAAAATAGCTATTGATCGATTATCTACAATCCGAGTATTTTAGTTTTCCAACTTTTTGCGTTTTCATCAAAATGATCCCACTTTACAGGGTTTAAGAAATAATGAGGTTACGCAAAAAATTCAGAGAACTGAAATATCCGGATTGTAGATAATCGATCAAAGAACGTTTATGCCAAATTTCAGCTAATTCTGAAGTGATTTTAAAACTTACCACCTCTATTATCTCGTAGTTGAAAATTTTTCAAAAGAATCCCTGAAACACGTCAACTATAATTTCAAGGGGGATGAGTTTTTATGCAAAATTCACCTCCCCCCTTTCATCCCCCCAGCCACCAGAGCCACCCCCTAGAAAATCTTAAATAGGAAATGGTGTCAAGTGATACATCATTATGGACGGTTTTTAATTTGATACATTTTGGTACTACATTTTAATACCTAAGCCTCGACCTAAGCTTAACTGTTTTGGAAATATTGACCAGTTTAAAATTCACTTTTTGCATATTTGACTATAAAACCTAAATGGTTGATTCTACAGCAAAACCTATTATACACTCTTGTCTCAGTTTTTCATAAACTATCGTTTGACACCAACTTTGAATTTAATCTATGACTAAAAATTCCAGTTGAATTTAATCCCTGGTTAAATTCAAAGTTGGTGTCATGATAACTTATGAAAAGCTACAGACGTGAATGTGAAATCCGGTTTGCTGTAAAATTAACCGTTTAGGTTTTACAGTCTTTTAAAGTTGCAAGAAAGTCAATTTTCAACTGTCTATATTTCCGTTACAGTTGAAGATAGGTACCTACATGGAATATTTCTAGAATTTTCCGCAGAATCCAGAAATGTCATAATATACAGGGACTACCATTAAAAAAAAATGAAGTTGATAACCGTACAGCTGTTCTTGAAACACTCTGTATGAAAAAATTAATGTGAAAAGATCTTAAGCAAAAAAATCTTGATCGACGTATGCATTTTATCCATATATTTTATCCGAAGGCTCTAGCGAATTAGTTCCTGTCAAAGTCCCTACCCTGTATTTAGTATCTATACAGATGTAAAATTTTAGGATAATGATTCTTATGGTAGCTTCGAAGACCCAGATGGCGAAGAGTCTCAATCACCAAGTGATTCCACTAGTTTATTGCCAGTTCATATCAAAAGTGCGGACAAAATATGTACTATGGATTTCAACGCCAGTCGAGAAGAGCTTTTACGCACTATACAGCATTCTTGGTATACCCAAGAGAATTTTTTTATGGAGCCACAAAGTCAGAGGCGAGAGGCTAATATTGGGATTTTATGGTAAGAAGTTTTCCCTAGTGAAATAATAGCTTTACATTTTTTAATCGAAAATTGTCCATTTTCCATAGGGAGAAATACCTAAAAGAACAAGTACACGGTCTTATAATTTTAAAATCACCCTCAATTATTTCTGAATATAATGTTGTAAGGGAAATTTTATGGCAACTTTGGTGCCCCATTAGCTCATCAACTTTGGAGTTTAGTGGCAATTGCTTAAGGCCACGACCAGATATAACTTTGGCTAGTGTTCGTTCAGTAAGTGATTTCAATTTGAATTGATAAAAATAACTGAAAAAACCTATTTTAGTATGCTTTCTATACGTTTATGGGGGAATTTATTCCATACATAGAACTGCTAGAATATTTTAGAGAGTTTGAAAGGTCCCTTCAATGTGATTTTAATGTTTGTCGGACATATCAAAGCTACTGCGCTTGTATTACCACTATTATTGATCCAATTTATAAAAAACTAATTGAAGTTGAAAATGAAGTTAGGCAACAAGAAACTACTTATACTCTCTTAACGTTAGCCGATGAATTAAGTAGAATATTCCAGCCGATTAAAATGCTTCAAGAAATCCACGAGCAAATTATTATAGATCATAATACTAATGATCCATTGAAGTGTGCTACTAAACTTATTGTGGGATTGCACGAATCATTAAATTTCACGGCTTCTAAGCAGGAGCAAGATTTAAAACTAGCCCTATTTTTGGGTACTTTGTATCACTATCTAGGTTTAGTGGATTCTTGGTTGATAAAGGACGATTTGGTGGATTATACTGGAGAATTTGTTATCGAAAAGTTTGTATATTCTTTGAAAAAGTTGTAATTGTTTAATTTTGATTTTGTTTAGGCGAATTACTTTGGATCGTTGGCATACCCAATTTGTTCCAAGAGATGGTATGGATGAGAGTTGGAAGAAAAATAGTTTTTTAAAGGTTTTTATTGAGAACATTTTAAAAGTTGGGAAAAATATAAATTTTTTGAGATTACTGGGAAAGTATGATATTATTGGCGATTGTCAGGGTAAGAATATTCAGGCTGCTGACATTAGCTTGTTTTCACTCCAAATCTATTTCAGAGTCGATTTATAACGAATTCATTAATGAAACTTTCAAAAAATTAAGCAAATTCAACAACAATGAAAAACAGTTATTTGAGGAAGCGGAAATTTTAAATGAAGAATGCTCCGACTTAATCAAATTGATAAACGAGGAGAACTTTATAAATCCGGTTCTCGGTACGGAATTAAGCAAAACTAACCTGGAGGTGCAGAAACTTGAAAACTTGGTTGATATTCAAGATCCATTTTTGGTTACTGCTTTCGCTGAGTTTTTCGTTGGGAGAACTCCAGTGGAAACTAACGAGGACGTTAGTTTATATAATAGGTAAAAAAAATTAATTTCAAATATTAATTAATAAAAAAATAATTTAGGATTGCAAGGACTACACAGAATCTTTTCCCAAAAACAAATTTCTTCGAATCCACTCTGATAAATATTATAGAAAGTCGATTTACTGTCTCAGGATTGATGGTAAAAAAATTACTAATTGAAGATCATTTATTGGAGAAACAATTTGAATTTTTGAGGCATTTGTATTTGTTCTTTGACGATTTGATTTTTCCTTTCTACAGAAGATTGTTTGTAAAGGTAAGGAAGTTACTTTTTAAACTTTTCAATATGGTATAAAAGTATAAGAAATTTTCCATGAAACTGGCATGCAGCCAAAAATTCTTGGTATTTTCAGTTACGAAAGGCATTCTTGCTCCCTCGAATAATCTGGAGTTTACGATTTAAGGTTCCTTTTGTGACGAAAGGAAACAATGTTTCATGTTTCTGTGAGATAATAGAAACTTGGTGTTATCTTTCGTGTAAATTTTGTTCAATACGTTTTTGTAGTAGGTACATGTATTTAAATATTTGAAGAAGGTTTTTTGTGTTTGACTTAGGGATAACGATCCTAAAATTTATCGTATGAGGTACAGATTGATATTCATAAATTATTTGCATGTTCCTTAAAGGTGCCAAATAGGCCAAGCAATGAAGGAAGTCTACCTCAACATAATTAGAAGTTATAATTTTTTTTTGGGGGGATCGGTCCATTTTTCATGTGCTAAATAACATATTAGGTTTGCGACCTTGTACTCCCATAGGTTTTTCAGTTGGGGGTAATTTGCGGTTTATGGAGTACTAGCATGTTTATGTTCAAGGTCACTGAATCAGCGTTTGGCCTGTTTGCGCGCATTTGATACAGCAGCAGCCGAATGCATGATCCGATTTCAAATGTCCAAACACCACATTAATGCTAATGAAATGCACTCTCCAATGCCTTTTTGTTCGATTGTTTGGCTTGAAAATTAAGCGAGCACGGACTTGCCTAGTGTGCGTAATTTTTTCGTCAATTACTCAATGACTTATTCGCCTGAACACGTCGTGCGGATTATATTAAAGCATTACAGTATTTACATTTATTCTCGGTTCCACACCGCCCTGGAGTAAACTTTGCCTAGAGGTTGAGTCTCGGGTTGAGTATATGGCGCATTTTTTTAAATTGTGGTCTCCGCAATAGGCCTTCATCTTTATTCGTTATTTCGATCAGTTTTATTTTCTATATTTATAAGACGTGGATGGACCAGCTATGGGTTCGTCAAAGTCGACAGGATACCCTCCATGTTTTCCACAGTTGCCTCCTGCGTATTTGTTTGGTTGTCCTCTTCTTCCTCTGAAGCAGAGATAAATACTATTAGGCAATTCAATCCATCTGTCAGATAGGGAAATTCAATATGGCGTGGCGGCCAAGCAAGTTTGTTTTGAATGTGTTTTTATGCGTATTTCAAATTATTTTGCTTAGAGTTTTGCTTGCAACTTTGATTTGGACTATTTAATAAAATATTTGTTGACTAGGTACCTAAACTAATAAATCGAGCAGATTCTAGATATTTTTTTCTGTTTTTTGGCCCATGTGTGGCCGCCACGCCATCTTGAAAGTCACGTGGTTTGAATTGCCTAATAGAGAATGGAATCTCAGTGTAAATTTTGTTGTCAATAAAATTGAGCCAATCCAGCGCCATCTACCATATCGGAAAATCACTATTTACTGGTTTTGCATCGATGCTACAGACACCTACTTTACATAGGACTTTTTATGATAGATGGCGCCCTGTTCGCATTACTGTCGGTCTGTTCACATTCGTTTATTCTAGACTTTGAGGCATTAATGTTTGCCTAAATTAATTGATAATTTGTTGATTAGATCAAAAAACAGTTTCTTTATCGATGGTTAAGGGTATCCTTAACATATTTATTCAAAGTTCTGATTGATGTTTAATTGAACCTGTCATTTATCTAATCAACAAAGATAAAAATAGATCTTCCAATCTATAAAGTTTGAAGTTCTTCTTGAAACACACAAAAGAACTTTGAAATCACTTAAGAACACTTGACAACACAAAGAAACATGAAATGCAAGACCGGCGAACAAAAAACATTATGAAATATTAGTTATGATCTTTTGGCATATTGTCATATGTTGACATGTCAGTTATCGACATCGGACGTGTTCTTGATGTGCTGGTATTTTACAATTTTGACAATTCTGTGGTTTGTCAGCGACATCTAGAAAAACGGAAAAGAGTTATTATGTGGTTTATAACTGGCAATGAGAGATCGCAGGGCCTGACTCTGAAGACAATGCGTTGAAGGCCTTGTCAATGTCATCGTGGTCGGTATAATAAATAGGTTGTGGAACGTTCTCGCATGAATCACCATTCACCGCTACAGTTTATGCAAGTTATCGAACATTTTAACCCGGCTTTTCTACAACCGCATGCATTTACACGAGAGGAATTTTAACAGTGTATCAGAGGCGGGGGCCTCTGTTGTTGTAATCGGCATAAGTCCGTTTCTAATGCGGTTCCATCCCCAATGTTCCGCATTTTTGTAGTGACCATACCAGGACTGCACTTGATGGTAGGTTCGCAGTGAATCTTGACCTGCTGCTGCTGCTGTTGGTGGCAGAGAAGCTAGATTTTGGCTTACTTTTCGTAGCGGTGCGAGTGAACTGTTGATATCGCACGTAGTTTAAAGATGAATTATTTTCTGTACCACCATAAGGTTTAATCAGAATTCGCTCGCCGTCGCAACGATATCGTGATTAGCATTTTCGTCCAGGCACACGTTTCCCGCCTCTTTCAGTTCTTCGGAATGTGTGAATAACTTAAGATTTTCGCCTTGCCTTGACGGAACAGAGCAGACGTCGTATCGCATGCGCTGAAGGCGTTTAGGAACAAAATATGGCGTGCTACTGAGGCGTCGCCATTGAAACTCTGTGGAGAGTAGACTTGTTCCGTATCTCGTCCCTTGCCTGGCTTCAATAGGAACATATTTTGCTGATCAGGCGCTAGAACTACCAGCAGAGCAAGCAAGTCAATGTATTCACCGACAATGAAGACGTTGTCAACATCTACCGTTTGGTTTATGGCGGTCCTGACAATAAGAGTATCCGCATCTTCTGCGGCCTAGTGGACGGTAAAATTTGATTTCCGTCATTGGCTAGGAAACGGGATTAAGTATATGTACAGATCATTGATTCTTCGAAGACTACATCTGCGGATGTCTGCTTTTGGGATCAACGAAGTCGTTCAGTGCTTTTGGTGCTTTTGTTGGTAGCATCAGCTGGATAACCGTCAAACACTACGATAGTGTTGGAACCGTAATGTCTGTCCACGTACTGGATGAACTTGTTGCAGATGGAGAGGAAGGATTCGCCTCGAAGCCATACGTCTTTGTGCCAGCCACCATCAATTACGTACATGCTGCTTTCCAGTACAGGCTTTGCGAGAACAGGGGTGAATGCTTTGTATAGTTGCGACTTTGTCCCCTTAGGCTTCGGTGAATAATCATAACCGGAAAGCAAGTTCAAACTGAAGGTTCCGCTGAAGCTCCTCGTCCGATTGCTTAGCGATACACATGCAATAGAACATGACAAGCGGATTCACAGGTATGCTCAGGTCATTAATTTTGATAGTACTGGTCACTGCTGCAAGTGGTGTGATGCGGTCATTGCCAGTTTGAATTTGACGCTGTGAAAGTCCTTGCCAATAATGTTGGAAATTCCAATGGCGCCAAGGTCTTGCGCCATGTAGGTAGCAATTAATTCGATCATCGCCTACAAGACCAGTACTTATAGATCGGATGTTTGGGCTTCCTAGAAACAGTTCGTGATCGCTGAACCAATTGACGAGCCGTTGAGGCTGTCTGATCCCGCGAATATCGCATGTCCACGTGTTGTTCCGTTGTGTCCAATGAAACACCGCAGAAGGTTTCCAGACTCGCACACACGTTCTGTAGGGCCGTCATTCTAAAGTGTCCACTTGGCGAGCACGCTGTCAGTCACGCCTCGCCCATGTGTAAGGCCACTGATACATTTCATCATCCTTATCAATCTATCAATGTTTGCTCGATGGACATATCAGACCATATTCCTGCCGAAAATTTGTCAGATGGTGAAATAGCTTTTCTGAGTGAATGCTTCGAACTCATGAGCCTTCATTTTTTCCTGCAATTGCAGCATGTTCTGCAAATACAAATGAACGGACTTGGTGTACATGAAGTGGCCGCTGGCATGAAAGAACGGGAGCATGCGTTGAACAGTATTCAGATGTAGTTGATCAGTTGCCCGTCCGTTCAGCATAAACTGCTTACCTAACTTGACCATTTTGAAATACTGCACCCAAAGTTGTGCGGTTGGACCATTGGCTTGAATTTTCGGCAATTGGTCACGCAGCTTGTTGAGGAGACTTTCTCCTAAATCCAGGTCCTCGAGCGCCATAATCGCAGTTCTATCAGTATCACTCAGAAGGCTTTCCATCAGGGCGCGCTCCTCCACAGTGAACGTTATGTTGTTCAAAACAATATGCGCCAGCGCAAGATGAGATAAAAGGTGTGCCCGCACAGCACGACTGCAGGCATGCCCTGTTATCATGTGCTCAATTGAGTTCTCCGCATATATCATATATCACCGCAAATAGATCCTTTCAACTACTTCCATTCATGATGTAGCCTATGCATCCCAGGAACGACATTAGGAGGTGGGATCCACCAAGGCGCACTGTAACATTCGACAAATGAGCGGACTCACAATTGGAGACAATATCCTGCGCTTTTATATACAGTGGCTGATCAAACGTGACAAAACAGATATATTGCTTTGAGGCTTGCGCTTTATTTGTCGCGGTTAGGAGAGCAGTTATTATCGTATCGTAATCACTGGGTAGGGCATTGATAAATGGGATGCATGCGAATGTGCGAATCGCTCTCGAGTGGTGATCTGCTCCATAAAATCGTGTCACCCTGGAATACATGGCAGTTTAGTCCACTGTCCGTGTAACCAAAGAAAATCCGATGTTGAAGGGAGTATTTCGGCGGATATTGGATTTTATTTTGCAAGTCCTTGATTGTTAGGTGTTTTAAACCCGACTCCCCTTGGCGATGAAAAGTTGCAAGCCTCACAGCTGCTATCTTGCCTGTAAAAACCGCTGACGGCATGCGGTTAATACGTTGAAAAGATTGATCCTGAGCAATAGCGGATCAAGGCTTCACGCACTCAATAGCACCCATGGCATGAAATGTTCCAAAGCCATCAAGTGTTC